AACAAAGAAAGCAGCCAGCTACACACAGCCTGAAGCAGTTCTCCTAGAAAGATGTGGGGAGCCCTGAGGTGCCCAAGACCTGGGACAGAGATCAATCACTCAAGTCCAGAGCAGGGAGCAAGTGGAAGGGGGCGGGAAAGAGACCAGTTAGTGAAGGGTCTAGGAACCAAGAGCCAGAGTATGGTCCTGCTTGGCCTGTGATGGAAAGAAGCTCACTTTGGGGCGCAGAGCACTCCAGCAAGGAGGCTGTGCTTGGGGATGGGCACAGGAGAGCTTCATGGGGGAACTGTGGCAGCTACCAAAGTACCTGCTTCCATTAGCTACACAGAGATGGCGGCCTTGGGGGAGGAGCAGCTGGGCTAGAGAACAAACTCTTCAGGGAAGGAAAGGGAGGGACAGAGGCCAGAGGTAATGAGCAGAAACAGGAGTCAGGCCTCCCTCCACATCTTACACTGATCTCATCCTGATAGGAAGAGACATTTGTACTTTAAGAGAAACTTCAACATTGAACTGAGAGCTGTTTAGTCACAGGGCCAGACATTCATCCAATTATCTCCTGCTCACACACAGGCTAACATACATATGTAGACCCAGACACCACACATAGACACAGACACACACACACATAGACACAGACATACAGACACACACATAGACACACATACTCACAGAGACACAGACACAGAGAGAGACATAGATATATATCACAGGGATACACACATACACACGTAGACACAGACTTACAGACACACACATAGACACACATACAGAGACACAGACAGAGAGAGAGAGATAGATATATATCACAGGGACACACACATACACACGTAGACACAGACATAAACATAAACACACACACATATACACAGACACACACAGATGCAGACATACACACACAGAGACACACACACAGAGATACAAACACAGAGACACAGGCACATTGAGATACAGAAACACAGAAAGATATAGGTATGCACATACATATCCAGACATAAACACACACGCTCACAGGTCCGCATGGGGACATGCACACATAGACACAAAAATACTCACAGACACTCAGAGACATAGGCACACACAAGCACACACTCATACAAACACACACATACAAATATAGGTATGCACATAAACACCTAGAGACATACATATAAACATACACATACACTCTCAGGCACACACATACACACACAGACACACGGAGAGACATAGTCACACACGAACATCCACACACACAAACACACACATACACCCACTCACACAGGCACACACAGACACACACATAGACACACAGACAGACACAGGCGCACATGAACACACACACATCTTCAGTCTCAGGTTCACTCTTGTGATTTCAGTTATCAGTTATCAACTATGGTGAGAGAATATTAAATGAGTCATGGCAACAGCCAGGCACCCTGGGGCAACTACGCTCTAAGTACTGGCAGGGCACACAGCTCAGGACGACTTGGCTCCTGTCCTCAGTCAATATCGCAAGGACCTTACTGCCTGGGCTAAGGTTCCCTTTCCAACGTGCTGGCTGAGGCTATCTGGCCCTCGATGAATGAAACTGACTATGTGACTTACAATGACGGGGAAACCTAACATTTCGATGGTGTCTCCATACTACTTGGCAGTGACAGGGAAAACATTTAATAATTTCTAAAAAAAAAATAATTATACCAGATGAAGTTGTCATTTTGTTAATCCGCCCAATGTGTTAGAATAAAGATCTTAACTTTTAGGTTTTATGAGGTTAGAGGTTGGTATGTTTACCTGCTTCTAAGCAGGTGAAAAGCCAACCACATAATCTTCTAGAAAAGGCAAAGCTTGTGAGATAATAAAAGGACAGGCACCACCACAGGTCCTGGGTGAGAAGGGAGAGACAAAGTAAGTTCCAGCACAGAGTTTCAGCAGGGTCATCTGTGCCTGCGCTGGCGGACATGAATGTTGTGATAGTTCACTTGTATTTTAATAAATAAGGCTTGACTAGAGATGAGAGAGTGAAGCAGCCACTCTGGTCAGCCACACAGACCCATGATGATACACACCTTTAGTTCCAGTAGCCACGCTAGTTCACCATAGCAGCCGGGTGGTAGTGGTGCACACCTTTAATCCCAGCACTAGAGAGGATTATAAAATGGGAGGAGACAGGTTTCTCAGTCTTATTCTGAGGATTCGGAGAGGCAGGCTTGCCATTTTGATCTGAGGTAGAAGTGGGTGCCAGTGGCTGACTCCTTTACTTTTCTGACCTTCAGGATAAACCCCAGTATCTGTCTCTAGGTTTTTATTATCCGTGCTACAGACATGTGTCTCTACAAGGTGTACATCTCTACATGTGTCCATCTACCAACACCTGCAGAATGTAGGGACATAGTGGGAGTCCTGTTGGAGACGACTGCTTTCAGCTGGTAATAAGCAATGCTGCCATGTCAGCTGTGATGATTTTAGCACAGCCTGCAGAGATGTTGACGGTAGGAGAGACTGTGTGTGCATGCATGTGTGTCTTAGTTAGGATTACTGTCATCGTGATGAAACACCATGACACGCAGCAACTTGGGGAGGAAAGGGTTTATTTCCCTCATAATTCTCTATTACCATTCATCATCAAAAGCAGTAAGGGTAGGAACTCAGGCAGGGCAGGAACCTGGAGGCAGAAGCTCAGAGGCTGTGGGGGAGTGCTGCTCACTGGCTTGCTCCTCATGGCTTTCTTACAGAATCCAGAACCATCAGCCCAAGGATGGCACCACTCACAATAGCCTGAGCCCTTCCCCACTGATCACTAGTTAAGAGAATGACCTACAGGTTGGCCTACAGCCTGTTCCTATGGAGGCATTTTCTTAATGGAGAATCCCTCAGATGACTTCAGCATGTGTCCAGCTGACACAACACTACTCAGCACACATGTGTATGTGTGTCCTGTGTGTGTGTGCCAGATGATGATGAGAGGTCCAGGAGACTCTTTTTCCTCTTCTGTTTCCTTCAAAACATACAGTGGATCTGAAAAATGAAGACTATTTATTTTTTAAAAATAAAATTCTTCTGAACAGTTATCACAAGAAAAAATAGGAGTACTGGTAGATTTACTAATATCTCTTCTGTTTTATCATTTTGCTATATCATTATGATGATGATGATGATGATGATGATGATGTCCAGGTTGAGTGCGGTAAGAGCTATTGTGACTGCATTCCAAGGTTTGAACTTTGGGGCCCCCAAAGGTTGTTTGAACTATCTACTCCAGCCCTGGAGAACCTGAACAATCCTCTTCACATCTGTGGTCACTGGGAATTCTCCAGCAAAGATTTCTGATTTGGTGCGTCATTCATCACCAAAATGTCATAACAAAATGTCATAGCAGCAAGATTCAGCATTCAAAGCCCTGTGGTCCAGCAGCCTACCAGCATCGATGAAAGTGGGTAAGGAAAGGTCACCATTCATGTGACCCTCACCTTGCTACACCTCTATCCCTAACCTCGGGGGCAGCAGGGCTTCCAGCATCCTCCCAGAGGAGTTGCTCCCAAGTAACTCTGTTCTACCAATGTTAGGTCTGCTCATCGCCTGTCTAAGGAGGCCATCTTTAGCCACTTGGAAAACTAGGTTACCCTAGACCTTCCCGGCTGTCCCCAGCTGTCGCCAGACTTCAAGGGAGGAGTAAACCCACAATGAGAAACAGCATTCTCCTTCAAGGCAAATGAGAAAGAGTCTTTCCTATGCCTTAACTTTAGCATCTGTCTCTCTCCCCACTTGCCGACTGTGTGTGCGTGCACACATGTGTGTGTGTGTGCGTGTGTACATGTGTGTGTGATTGAAAGAGAGAGAGAAGATACATATGCCCTGAAATGTGTCACTTTGCCGTTTGTAAGGACACAGTTTATGGATGTTAACGTCTTCACTTTGTTGAGCCTGTCCTGCTTCAACCTTGCGCCCCTTACTCACTCACTCTGTCCTAGTTAGGGTTTCTATTGCTGTGATGAAACACCATGACGAAAAAACAAGTTGGGGAAGGAAGGGTTTATCTGGCTTACACTCCAGCATTGCTGTTCACCACTGAAGGAAGTCAAACAGAGCAGGATCCTGGAGGAAGGAGCTGGTACAGAGGCCATGGAGGGGAGCTGATTACTGACTTGCTTCCATGGCTTGCTCAGTCTACTTTCTTACAGAATTCAGGACCAGCAGCCCAGGGATGGCCCCACCCACAATGGGCTGGGCCCTCCCCCATTGATCACTAACTGAGAAAATGCCTTACAGCTGGATCTCATGGAGGCATTTCCTCAACTGAGGCTCCTTCCTCTCTGATGACTCAAGCTTGTGTCAAGTTGACACAAAAAAGCAGCCAGTACACCTCCCCAGACTCCTCCCCACATTCCACTTACTATCTCTGTGAATGGGTGAATGGGACACTTTAGGGGTCATATGTGAGGTGAATCATATGGTATCTGTCCTTTCGGAAGAAGGAGAAGAGAGACTCATTCTTCCATACCGATGCGTGAGGAAAACCTGATGAATTTCCTCTCATTAGCCCAGTTTCTGAGGCAGAAGTTGACAACCAGGGTGCTGGGAGAAATATGGCTTTCTCTCTTTGCCCGATACTCTCTCATCTCTTTGTATTTTTCCTGTTCAATCTGAACGAACATTGACATCCAGACCCTGCAAACACCAATAGCCAATTGCATGTGCTTGTGCTTAGCACTCAACCTGGGCTGTAGTGATCCCGTTTGGCCTAATCTAGTCCCCAAATTCCTGATCTTCTTGTGCATTCAAAGACTTCATTTAGAGCTACATTATGTTAATGGGAAATGCCAACCGAAGGCACTTGGAAAGCAGAGACTGGAACGTCTCCGAGTCTGAGGCTAGCCTGGTCTACAGAACAAGTTCCTGAACAGCCGAGCTTAGGCACTGAATGCAGCAATCAGAAACAGAAAGCTGGTGAAGGTGTAATTGACCAAGGAGGTCATAGTCCAGCCTCAATGCGCAGCAGACCTTGCAGCTTTGGCCGCGTGGTTCTGGCTTTAAGGATAGAAGAAAGGGTTTATGAGTCACTGAGGCCAGACAAGTCCCAGGGGTGTCCTTGATGGCAGGGGCTTAAGAGGCCAATGAGTGAGGCTGTGAAGGTAAAGCCTGGATTGCCTCAGAGATCCTAAGATGTCAGAGATGCCAGAACCCTGGGATACCTGCTGGGGAAAGCTGCTAACAGGAAGAGGAACCAGCCTAAGAGAAAAAACTGCTGCAGTCCACAAAGCAGATAGGAGCTGGAGCTCTGAAGAGAGTTTTGACATCTGTCATGGAGATGAAGAGTTTGAAGTCTGCCCAGCTGGTTTTTGGTCTCGCTTTAGTCCAGTGTTTCCTCACCATGCTTCCTTCCCTGCGTTTTGAAATGGTAATGTATATTCCGGGACACTATATGTTATAAGTATGTGATCTGCTTTTTTTATTTTGATTTTACAGGGGATTACAGTTAAGACGTTGCTCGAATCTCAGAAGAGACTTTGAACTTTAGATTTTAAATAAGCTTGAGACTGTTATAGACTACGGAGATGTTTGAAGTTGAACTGAATGTAGTTTTGCATTAAGACATGGCTACAAGCCTTTGAGGGCCAGGGAGTGGAATATGGTGGTTTGAATGGAAATGCCCCCTCTAGGGAGTGGCACTGTTACATGTGGCCTTGTTGGAGTAGATGTGGCCTTATTGGAGGAAGTGTGTCACTGCTGGGGTGGGCTTTGAGGTCTCTTATGCTCAAACTATACATAGCGAGACAGACCACTTCCTGCTGCCTGCAGATCAAGCCATAGAGCTCTCACTGGGTGGTGGTGGTACAGGCCTCTAATCCCAGTACTTAGGAGACAGAGACAGGTGGATCTCTGTGAGTTCAAGGCCACCCTGGTCTACACAGTGAGTTCCAGGATAGGCTTCAAAGCTACAGAGAAACCCTGTCTTGAAAAAAAATGTCGCACTTTCAACTATAGTCAGACTTTCCCTTATGGGACTGCCAGCTCACAAAAAAACAACACGGAGACTTCTTATTAATTATGAAAGCTTGGCCTTCAGCTTAGGCTTGTTTCCAACTAGCTCTTATAACTTAATTAACCCATATTTTTAAATCTTATTCTGCCATGTGCCTGTTACCTCTAACCTGTGCCATATGTCCTATTTCTTCAGTGTCTGACTGGCATCTCCCCAGCTTTATTCTTCCCAGAGCTCTCTCTCTCTCCCCAGAAATCTGCCTCTTCTCTCCTGCCTAGTTATTGGTCATTCAGTTCTTTTTAAACCAATCAGAGTAATATATGTTCATACTGAGTAAACAAATGTCCCTCAACACTCAGCTCCTTCTCCAGCACCATGTCTGCCTGCACGCCACCATGTCCTGCCATGTTGATAATGGTCTGAAACTGTGAGTCTTCACAGCAATAGAAACCCTAACTAAGATAGATCCTGCTGTGGAAAGACCCCGCCTGTGCACCAGAAAAGTCAGCTCTGTGGCTTTCTCTCCGTCACTGCATTGCCTTTTCTGGGACACCTGCCCTTCCACATCATGCCAGAGGAAGAACACCCAAAGATCCCCACTTAAGACTCTGACTGCCTGGGGTTCCTAGAGTGGCCTGAGATATCAATCATAGCTGGGCATCCTGGGACATCTCACATCCCTGCGCACACTTCCCTAACCTCCTCGGAATGCTTCCCTTGTGCAAGGGCTGCCAGGCTCCTACAATTCCTTAAGAGGAGAAATGATCCCAGGAAGAAGACACATAACTGAGAGGCAAAACAGACTCTAGGCCAGCATCCTCAGAAGGGCCGGTGAACTGCCTTCAGGGCCAAAGCCTCAGGTTCCCAGCTACCAGACAGAAGAGGAGTTCTCTTCTTAAATGGCCTGTAAATTAAAACAGTCAGGACATTTTCTCTCAGAAGAATAACATAGACTTTAGTAGTAGTAACCACCTTCTATGCTAGGCACCATGCAGGACACTTTTAATATATTTTATTAGTTCTTTGATATTGTCACGTATGTGTACAATTTATTTTGATCACATTCATTCCTTCTCCCTTCTCCCTCCTCCCAGATCTGCCTTCCACCAATTTCCAGTTTCATGTCTACATCTACGTCTACGTCTGTATCTATCCCAGAGTCCAATCTGTGCTGTTCATATATTCATGAGGGTGGGACCATTCTCTGGGTGATAATCAACCTACCAGGAGACTCACCCTATACGCCATCAACTGTGAACAGCTCCTCAGCTAGAGGGGTGGGGTGAGGCTTGAACTCCTCCCCTTCTATGCTAGAACACTGGCCAACTTGATCTTGTTCAGGTCCCACACAGGCAGTCATAGATGCTGTGAGTTCATGCGTGCCCTGATCATGTCAAATTCAGATGACACCCTTTCATCCTGGTCCTCGCTGACCTCTGGCTCTTTTAGTCTTTCTGCCTGTCTTCCAGGGTGGTCTCTGAAACTTGGGGGAAAGGAGCATGATGTAGATGCCCTGTTTGTGGCAGAGCACTCCAGAGATGCTTATTCCCTGTGCTTTGACTGTAAGTGTCCGCATTAACCTCCATCCACCAGTGTTTTACTTGCCTCTATGTGACTCCTTAGGAGTATTGTTCCCTGCACCAATGCCCCTTGTCCTCACTCCTCCCCACTGCTCTCCTGCCCCTTGTTCTCAGACAGCGACAGCCCTTCCTTCAGGGCCTTCGCACCTGAACTCATCGCTGCTCTTCCCACATTCTCTAGTCTTGTGTCTTCTCCAGCAGCCTCCAGGCCTCCCCACCATCCTCAGAAGAATCTTTCTCCCCTCAGGCACAAAGCCACCTCGGGTCCCAGCCTGTTCCCATAGCACCAATCACAGTGGCAACTTCCCAGAGTGCTTTTAGTCCTGTTTAGTTTCAGTCAGCAGATTATCGGCCTGGGAAGACAAGGCTTCATTTCAGTTATGTAGCATCCCAGGGCTTAAAAACCGTGTCTGTCCAAAGGTAACAAACAGCAGGCAAACCTAGGAAAGAACCTCAGCCTCTGTAGTCAGCAGAGATTTCGCATCAAAGAGGCAATGAAATACCCCCCACCCAGGTATTACTGGCCTGATGGCTCAGGATGGATGCAGAGCAAAAGTGGAAACTAGCGAGTGTTGGTGAGAAGGTGAAGAGGCTCAAGCCTTTGTAAAAGGCAGTGGGGGTGTGAGATGACAATGTGAGTGTGCCCAAAGAGCTCTACCCAGGCTCTCCAACCTTCCAGCCCCTGGATGCTTATGCCAAAGCACCGAGAGCAAAGTGCTGAAGGGATTTCCGCAAACCCTTGTTCAGAAGACATCAGCAGGTAGGGGCAGCCCGAGTGTTCACCCATCTGTCTATCAACTAGAGTGGCATAGAGCTCCCCAAAGAAAATAAATGTTGTCTCGTGGTGCAGAGCGTGAGAATCTACGTGCAAATGCTCCACATGGGAAATTTTGAGACTCTCCAGTATGTGCATTCTCAGGTATGTTTGTGTTTGTGTTTGTGTGTGGGGCGGCGGGTGGGGGGGGCAACCTTAGTTTCATGCCTCTTTGGTTTTTAAGACAGGGTCTCTCACTGAACCTGATGCTCACCAAGCAGACAAGGCTGACTTACTAACCAGCCAGCACCAACCATCTGCCCATCTCTACCTCTCCAGGGCTGGCATTGTAAACTCACATCATAATCAGGTTTTGTTTTGTTTTGTTTTGTTTTAATGGGTTCTGGAGATTTAACTCAAGTCTTCATTTTTGCACGGTAAGCACATCCCAAACAAGTCATCTCCTGGCCCCACTGGGGTATAAATGCTAAGCTTCTGGAGTTCAAATCATCCAGGAGTTTGGAGACATCCAGAGGATTCCATTAGGATGACGTGGGAGACATTGGCGTTCGTTGGCGTTCTCAAGCTCAGGGCTGCACAGGGTACATAGTTTGCAGGGCCCTGTCTGGAAGGAGAAGGCCGTGTTCCCTGTTAACAGGAAGTGACACAGAGAAACTGAATATGTCATTTGTCTCTGCCTTCTGCACTCTCTCTTACCTGCCGTGGTAGTTCTTGCTTCTTGTTTAATGTCACTGTCCCTTAAGCCCAGGGATCCTCGAGGGAGCTGCCTGTGTCTATTATGAAATCACTGCGCTTTTGATGAACAACAATCACTGGCTCAACTGTCTATCAGTCACCTGATAGGAGCATGCAGACTCAGACAGAGCAGCCTGTTATCTAAGTCCCCAGGGGTCAGGGACTCCTACAGGAGGATAACCTCTGTGCTGGGTACACTGATTGCTTGGTTAGGGATGGGCAGCAGTTTTACCCTCCCACAGCAATATGGTCTTCCATTCAGAATGGAGATGACATAACCCCTTATCTATGCCCTTGGTCAGACGGCCCCCCTCCGTAGAGGTGCAAGTTGGTAGTAGACAAAGATCAGTCACACACACACACACACATCGCGTATGCACTGAAACAAGCCATACCTGTCCGAGCAGAGGGACATGCGATGTGAGGAAGGGGGAGCAGACTGGATAAATGGTTAAGGGTCAAGAACCCATCCCAGCTGGGCAGGGAAGTGCCGGGACCACAAGTGAGTAGAAGGCCCAGTCCCATCGTCTCTCCAGACTGTGTGCACAAAGCACATTCAAACAAACCCAAACCAACAAACAAAACGATTGGCAACCCCAGAACATGACATCCCAAACCTGGAGACCTGAATCAGGGCCCCAAGAAACTACATTCACCAACACCTCTCTCAAAGTCACCCCATGCGGGATTCATAAAACCCTCCTAACAGTAACTGACACACTTGCAAACTTTTCTGATGGCCGCAGCCTAACCAGAATCCCCAGGGCAGGCTTGGTGCCTGTGTCCCACAGACCCAGTAATTCTCCGGGCAGGGAATCTTCGGGAGGCACAACCCACAGACCTACTTCTCTGCACAGTTCTTCTTAGCCTACGGTCCACTCTACCTTGTATATGGTCCTGACTCCTACAGCCTGGCTGGAGCAGGAAAGGATGTGTGACTCAAAGCCAGATTGCCTACAGGTGGGGCAGCACCCTGCAGTGCAGCTTCACACTGTGGTAAGTGGGGTAGCTGGGGTAGCAGTAGCAGGGACTCTTATGTCCAGTCAGAATGGGTTTCTCCAGAATGCACACTAGCAGTTAATGGCCATTAAGTCAGAGCAGTACAGGGAGCAGCCTGCAGTTACAGAACCGTGGCAGTTAAAGAAAGTCTCTCCCTCCCTGCCCCATTCTCTCTCTCTCTCTCTCTCTCTCTCTCTCTCTCTCTCTCTCTCTCTTTCTTTCTCTCTCTCTCTCGTCTGTGTGTGGGGGAGAGAGAGACTCAGAGGGACACATTGCATTGAGGAGACACTTAAGGATATTGGCTGAACTCCTGCTCCATTTGACATGGAGCAAAGCCATCCGATGTTCAAGGAGACCCTCCCTCACCGTCTTCACTTTCAAGGTCCTGTGACCTCTTTTTAAGGCTCTAGTCTTCCAAGCAGAAGAAGCATGGTCCTATTTGACAAATATGAAAGCTGGATTCAGGCTGACTAGGTAATTAGCCGATGTCACGACTATATAAGGATACCAAAAGCCCGTATGACCATCTCCCTGACAACACAGCATCCAGAACTCTAGTCATTCCCAGAGCATGCGAAGTGTGAGACAGAAGAGGGGAGGGCCAGCTGCCATAGAGACTGTGCTCCCATCTTTGGTTAGAGGCAGTGTATGTGGTAGGCCACTACACACACGGGGGCTGGCTACAAGGGCCCATCCTTTAAGGCTGTTTGCTGCCTGCAAGCCCTACCTGGCCTTGGGGTTGGTCGGTAGCTACAGGAACCTCATAGGAGGGCAGGGCAGTGACTGACTGCAGTGTTTGGTGAAGCTGCTGAGAAGGAATTAGGCTGTTTCATTCTAGGGATCAAAAGGAAAGAAGGTGGCCCTCAGGCTAACTGTGGGTGGGGACCCAGCCCTGGCCTCCTCCAGAAAAGGGGGAGAACCAGCACTTCTCATGGGTGTGAGCTCTGCAGCCTGCAGGCTGCTCCCTGCGCTGCTCTGACTTAATGGCCATTTGTGGTTAATGCACACAGATGCCAGGATCTTTTCAGAATTATTCATTCCTCGCCACATTCCCCCAGGGATTGGCAAACGTTGTTGGGTTTGACTTTTAATAATGTACTTAGCTGTAAATGTTGTGAACCAGGCTTCAGCTACAGGGTGGGGAGCTTGGGAAGTGATTAGTGGGGTTTCTGACAGGGGGCCCAGAGGGCTTGTCTTAGGAAAGGATTTCAGGCCATTGTTTTGAGGATTCTTCTCCGAGCTGGGAGCTAGCTCAGATAGGAGGAATGCACCCCTCTCTCTCTCCCATCTGTCATCTCTGCAAGATGTTAGGTTGCCCTAGCTAATGGCTCACCTCGGGCCACTGGGCATTTGTTTGAAATTCTCCTTCTCAAACTTGCTCTGCAAAACCTTATATGGAATATTCCAGACGTTCACTTTTGTTCCAATACGTGAATAATATTCAGCTCCAGAAATAGATTATAAGGAATAGTCTAGAGATCCATTCCCGTTCCAATAAGATAATAGTATTCGGTGCAGAGGAGATAACATCTAAGAGACCCCACACACCTCTGTAAATAGAGCTGTCAAGTCAGATCCGAAGGCTTTTAGAATTTTTTCTCACGATACCCCTGCAGATCTAGAGACAGCATTTTCTGTGTCGCACGCCCCAGGTTTCGAAGATGGTGGTATAAGCGACAGCAAGGATAAAGGACGGCTCACCACCTTCCCCCACACAAAGGGACAGTTTCCGTTTCTATTGGCTACACTGCGCTTCCCAGTAGGAGGTACACCATGTGTCGTCTGTGTGAGGCTGCAAGAATCGTCTCTCTTTGGCCTTGTTCACTGAGGAAGAAGGCCTGCGCTGCTCACCAAACAATTCCACCAGTCAATGAAGTTACTCAGGCCAAGGGCCTAGCAGGTGGAAGGTGCCTGGGAGTCCCTCCTCTTCCTCCAAGTGAGACACACGTGTCCCCAAATACAAGATAGTGACCTGAGAGCCATGTCCTCTGTGCTCTCACAGACACGAATATGGGGCAGTGTGACTCCCTTTACCCGTTTGCTGGACTCAGTATTGTCAGCCGTGTAGAGAAAAGTCTAAGAGCCTAGAATGTTAGATATACTGACTTTCTGCATTCCCCCATTATTTCCATCACCCAGGGCTCTGGCAAAATGTCTAGCCACCCCAAGCACTGGCACTTCTGGGTTCCATCCCCCCTTCCCCACCACCCAAGCATGTGCCATCAAGCATTCAAGCAACTTACACAGCCACCCAGGGCCCTCAAGCCCTGCGTGCATCATGGTCATGTGATGTACGCATGCTGCAGCTACTTAAGCCCTTGTACGCACACACTAGGCAACCTTTAAGAGCAGAACATGCTCGCTCAATGCTCTCTTCCTGCACCAACTTCCTCAGGCCTGCGCACGTGTCTTTTTCTCTCTCAGTAAACTCTTAAAGTGGGCTCTATTGTGTGTCTCATCATCCGTTCTCGTATCTGGTAATTTCACCCCCAATTTTGAGTATTTGAGTCCAAATTTAAACCAGGCTGGTGTGTTGAGCATGCCCAGAGTACACTTGATGCTCTAGACTCTTGAGGTCAGTTTCACCCAGGTTGTTCATAACAAAATATGACTGAGGGCCGCTACTGTCTCAGTGTAAATAATAGCATACTCCCCGAGTCTTCTCAGGTGGATAATAAGCTATGTGGTCAACAGAGACACGAAACAAGAAAGGGACCATAGGAGAACAAGCTTAAACCACCTTGCAAAAGGCCAGGTGCTATTCCTTTGCTAGGCACATAATCATCTGAGTTCCATCACCATTACCACCCTCATCATCTTCACCATCCACAGTCATCACCACATCACCATTGCCACACCCTAGCCACCATCCTCATCATCATCATCCTCCTCCTCATCATCATCACCATCACCATTGCTATCACCTCCACCATCATCACTGTTACCACTTTTACTATCACAATCATCGCCTTCACCATCACCACCATCACCATAAGAGGAACACTCGTCCATTGATGGTGGGAGTGCAAACTCATGCAGACACTATGGAAATCAGTGTGGCGGTTCCTCTGGAAGATGGGAATTGATCTACCTCAAGGTCCTGCTGTATCACGCTTGGGCATAAACCCAAAGGATGCATCATCCTATCACAGAGCCACTGGCTCATCCATGTTCGTTGCTGTCTATTCTAATAATCAGAAATTGGAAATAACCTAGATGCCCCTCAACAGAAAAATGGGTGAAGAAAATGTGATACATTTACACAATGGAGAAATATTCATCTCTTTATAAAAAAGGTCATGTCATGGAATTTGCAGGCAAATGGATGGAACTAGAAAAAAAAAATCATCCCAAGTGAGATATCCCAGAGCCAGAAAGACAAATATGGCATGCCTTTGCTTATGCATGAATAGTAACTATTACAGCAATGATAATCAAGCTACAGTCCAGAGAGCACAGTTGTTAGGTATAGAGTCGGGACTGGGGGTGCAGATAGATCTCATTAGGAAAGGGAAATAGAATAGACAGATATGGAGGAATGGGGCAGCTGGAATGGGGTGATCAAATGGGGAGGAGGAAGGGAGAGAGATTGTGGGAGGGAATATGGGGAGAGACAGCTATAAGTAAGGACCATTTCGGGGGTGGTATGGAAACCTAAAATATAGACATATATTAAGTTAATCTAAATGAAATCACCAAATCATGGGAAGACAGTGTCCCAACGGGCCCTCTTTTGCCACCAAACGAAGCTTTCAGTGCTGGGATTGGGTTGCATCTTTTTGAGTTGTGTGCCAAAGGAGCTCCATGAGAACCCCCAAACAACCCTGGCTGCTGCCAAGACCAAAACTATAGGCAAACAGATGGCAAGTCCCCATTGCTGAAGACAACATTTCGACAACTCATCGAACACGGAGATGTTGAGCTGGTGTCTACGCAGAGCCTTTTTTCCTACATTCCATCGTCTTCTGTTTGGGAAGGTGCTCTCCACACCATCAAAAGAGAAACATAAACACCAAGCCAGCCACAAACCCCTCATCTACAATGGTGTATTGTCTGCAAGATACGCTAGGGCACGAGTGACCCAAAGCTTGTGGGAGTGATCAACCAATGGCTGATTTGACCTAAGGCCCACTCCATTAGATGGGATTCATACCCGGCACTGCCTGGATAACCAAGAACCTGAGACTAGATAGCCTAGGGTAAAATCAAATAATACTGATCTAAAAAGAGAAAAAGAGACATAGTGATAAAACAACTCACAATGATATTCTCTTCCACTTAAGGTCAGTCATCATCAGAGAAGCTTCCTTCCGCAGGAGATGGGAAGAAGTATAGAAAACCACAGGGAGACATCACATAGACAGTCAGGGACCTTGGAAAACTCAGTCCTCGGTGGGCTGCCTCCATCAAACCCCTCCCCTCAGAGCTCAGGGAAGACCACAGAAGAGGTGAGATAGTGTCAGAGCCAGAGGGGAGGGAGGGCACCAAGAAAGCAGGGTGTTTTTAGTCAGCCTGGGCAAAGCTCACGAAAACTCACAGAGACGGAAGCAGTACAGTCTGCACAGGCCTGCGTCAGGTACTCTGTGTTCACATTATAGGCCCAAGTTTAGTGTTTTTATGAAGTTCCTGAGTGTGAGCAGAAGTGGTCTCTGATTCTTATGCCTTCTCTTAGGCTCGCTCCCTTCTGTTGGTTTGCCCTATGTGATAATTTTTGATTTATCTTATCATATTTATTTTGTTAGATTTTCTAAAAATGAATGAATGAATGAACAAACGAACGAATGAACAAACGAATGAATGAATGAATGAAAGGGGTTATATAGCAAGATTTAGCCTCTAATTCACAATCCTCCCCCTTCATCTTCCAAATTCTGGAGTTATAAGCAAGCAACACCATCCTGGCCCAAACTGGTCTTTTAAGATTTACTTACTTCATTTATATGGGTATTTTGTCCACCAAACTGGCCTTTTAAAGAGGTCATGTAGTATTTACAACACTTGTATGTTTGTTCTTTTTGTTCTGAAAGATACTGAAAAAAAATTCCAATTAAAGCACATCTGTGACCTAGATTAAAAACAAAACACCATTCAATATCTTAATGTAATCGCGTCCTTCTTTAAACCCCGTAGACATTAAGGCAAGGACAATTGTGATCTTTGGCAGGAGGGACACTAAAACTCAGAGTGGTAAAGTCGCAGGCCCTGCCGATCTGAACTCCAGAGATGTTTTCCTTGCCGGAGACTTTTGGCCTACTGTTAGGATGTATGAACCGGCAGAGCCGAGGAGAGAAGGAAGCCTGTGTCCGAGTATGCAGACTACTGTGGTGTGCCTGAGGACCCACCCATGTGCCTTCTGAGTGACAGCATCCCAAGGAGGACAGGGCTGAGAGTGTGACCCAGCAGATCCCTGGCTGCCTCTGCCTCAGGGCTCCCTCTGAAATGCATGCAATCCCAAAGCGTCTTGTCCCACCCTGCCAGGGTCTTCATTTCCATAGAAGACAAACTCGGATAGGCCAAGCTGGCCTCGAATTCAGAGATCCATCTGCTGCTGCCTCCAGAGTGCTAGGATTAAAGGCATGCCCCACCTCCACTCCGCCAGAAGGCAAACTCCTAACACGGATAAATATTATTCTTTGCCATCCCATCTTCCCACTGTACAATGTTCTCAGCAGCCCCAACTTTCCTATGCTAGCAACTCTGCTCCCTGCATGGCTGGACAGCCCCGCCCAGTTGTTCTTTCATTGGGAAATGCCTGAACTCCTATCGCGTCCTAAACCACTGCACAAACTACCTGGTGGAGGCCACCTCCACCGTGGCTCGTCCCATCGTCACACCGTCTGCATGCTATGCATGCTTCTACTCTGTTTCTCTAGTTTATGAGTCAAGGTCGGGCTCCCAGCCTGATCTGTCCCCTTCCATGGCCAGTGCCCTAGGAGCTGCCATGAAACCACACAGTTAGGTCATGGAAATCACTGGCCGCCCCTCAGCACCGCTGAGTGGGGGCTCTCATGATAAAGACTTACTGACCCTCACACCAGGGCCAAACTTCTAGGTACATGAGCTCAGGCTGCTTCCCTGATGGTCCCAGGGTTTGGTCTGAGCTCTGGCAGGGAGCTGGAGCTGCAGTAGGATGGGCTGGTGTGTGCAGGTGTGGACCCAGGGACGCTGCACAGGGGGACATGTATAAAGAGAAGGGGACACGGGTAAAGAGAAATCACCTCCAGGCGATTGCAGCTCAGACTCTGTCTCTTACTGATTAGAAAGAAGACACCAAGATGACGTCCATTCTTTGTGCATCTCTGCAGCTCTAGAAGCAAGCCCGGCCTTGGTGCTTAATACCGTTCCAGGGAATAAACGAGTGAACGAGGGGGAGAAGTCATTTGGGATGTCATGAAGGAAAATCAATCTATCAATTAATCATTCCACTGGGCCCTGCACCACGCAGGCTCCTGAAGATCGTCCAGGAAGAGGAAGCATGATTCATTTATCCAGTCATCTCCTCCGTAAGCAATCCACTGAAGGGGTTTTCTGTGCCAAGGGCTCCCTTGGGCTGCTGCGAGGGCTCACAAAGACGGACAGCTCTGGATATTTGGCTGGGCAATCCCGAGACACAAAGCAGGATGGAGCCCAGCTGCATGCGCAGCAGAGCAGATCCCAAGGGCCAGGCTGCAATCAGTTCAGAAGACAAGCAATTGAGGCAGGCGGGAGAGATCGACAAAGGCCTGGGGAGAGTGAGGGTCCAGCATTCCGCGTGGCCAAGAGGGGCGCAGGTGGAACCGTGTGAAATGGTCCACAGCCCCCAGGCATCTGGGAAGGACGAAGAGTGAGGACCTGCTGTGATTTTTCTGGGAACAAATGTTGGGAAATCATGGACGTGAGTGAGACGAGTGTGCGGTAGCTCAGCTGCGGAGCTGATGGCAGACGAGTTCTGTAAAAGCCTGGACACTATTTCTGTCCTTCTGTGGACTGCAGTCTCTGTCAAAACTATGTCATCCTGCTGTTTCCTGTCATCTCCAGGAAGGCTTCTATAGAGAACTATGGGGAGTTGTGAGCATGGCTGTGTCCCAATAAAACTTTACTAGTGGGCATGACATTGGAATCCCAGAGAGTTCTCATATGTCACAAAATGCTATTCTGGTTTTTCTTCTGACCTTCAGAAAATAAAGAGACCCATTCATTCCTCCCTGTGAACCACATGACAGTGGCCAATGGGGATAATTTGATGGCTATTGAAATATACTGATTCTCAGACGCTGTTACAATACAGGTCCAGCATAGTCCACCTCAGGCAGGAATGGAGAATCCATGTTTCTAAGCTCTCAGGTAGCACCAGCCAGGCTGCTTCAGATCGTGTGTGTGTGTGTGTGTGTGTGTGTGTGTGTGTGTGTGGCCAGGGAAGAATCCCAACTG